AAGCAGAGCCACCTAACAGCTTGTCAGCTGACCACAGGTGGAGCAGCCCAGCCATGACCAGAACTGCCCGGGTGAATCCAGCCCAAATAAATAAATGGTTCAGAGGCCACTACGTTTTGGACTGGGCTTACTATGCATCCACAGCTAACTAAGATGAGCAGGTGCCATTTGCTTTCACTAGAAGAGGAGACCACGATGCAGAAAGGTTAAGTGGAAAAGCCCAAAGGGTAAGTGGTGGAGCTTAGATATGCACCCAGAACTCTGACTCTGAATTCTACACTGCCGGTGCAGGGTTGCTCAGAATCGATGACCTTCCCTAAAGACAAGGCAAGGTGGGAAGTTACTGGGCCCTGCACCCAACAGCCTAATCGTGACATGGGAAGATCCATTTGAACCACCTGACAGCACAGGTGTCCGCATTCTTCCTCACTAGTCCAACTACAGCTTCCCTAGAGCTCTGCCTGCCCTTCCCAGGAGTAATCTCTCCTCTCTGGATGTAACCTCCAAGAGACAAGGAGGCCATTTGGTTAAATTATATTGACTTCTGAAGGAGCCCAGTGGGGACCCTGAAAAACAGTGATGCGTAATTGACTTGAGAAGGCCAGAAGAATGTAAAGCAGCATCTACACTCAAGTCAGAGACCCAGGGTAAAGTTTTATTTGATCCTAAAGACCATGGAAAGCCAGAGATGAATTTTAAATAAGGAAACAGTGGGATAGCATAGCACATTTAATAAAAATCAGTTTGGTTGCACCATGGGAAATAAGCTAAAAATAACCTTGGACAATCAATGCAGAGTCACCCAGATGATGATGGTGGCCAAGACTAAGGTCACACTCATGGGAACAGAGAAAAGTAGAAGGATTCAAGGGCTGTTTGTGAGACAGGATCAATAGGGCCTGGTGATGGATTGAATGAGGGAAGGAAATGAGGGAAAGGGTCAGGACAGCCCAATCACTGGGCCACAAAACGTAACTCACAACCAAGCAATGCTACTCTATTCCACACAGTGTTCCCAAGTGACAATTGAACCATTTCTGAAAAAGGTTTGGACTTAGTCTGGCCGTGGCGTGAGGATTTCTGATAGAGAACTCTGAGTCATCCAACCTGCAAAGAATAAAGGCAGGCTTCCAGAGAGAAAATGTCAAAAATTAAACAGCCACTTGTCTTGACAGCATTAAAAATAATCTGTCACCTGTTCCTAACTTTGTTCTTGGTTACAAAGGCCATTGTTTGAGTGAACAAAAAGGGTACAGAATTTGGAAAGCACTATTTACCCAGAGAAACTGATAAGAGCTCAGGCTAGAGAAGACTTGCATGTGAATGAGGAAGGGGGTGCACTGCTCTAAACACAAACACGCTGTGCACCACATACAACTCGAGCTCAAAATCCCATTCACTGGAAAACACGTGGATTCCAGCAGCTGCCATTGGTATATCCAGAACAGTCCGAATATGACCTGGCCTTTCAGCAAGAGCCATTTCCCAACCGATGAATCAGAAGTTCAACTCCAAACACAATAAGCTGACGGATATCGAAGAGATCGGGTCTCTACCTTCCTCCATCAGACACCTTGCCCCAGCGTGCCCTCATGGCAGCCACTTCCCACGCTGCGCAGTGTCACACTGGACTCCGGCAAGCATTCACCACATGCAGATTGAGGTCGCTCCATTTTACGAAAAGCCCGTCCCAGAGGGAAGAGCTCAAGAACAGAATCTGAGCATACAAAAGCCAACAAGATTTTCTTCAGAGTTGCTTTGGTTCTGATCCCTCTTGTTGGCACCCTCTGGTAAACTCAGAACCGCTGTCCTGGCCTCGGTGATTTTCCTATTGGAATCCCTTCCCAGAACTAATTCTGGGAAACCTGAGTTTCCATTAACTAGCTAGGTGTTTGAGGTTGTGAATGTTCTCTATTTGAACTGACACTGAACTACTGGGCACTACTCAGACCGATGGACAGGATTCAGCCAGTTCAGTAGGTGGGTTCAGTTGACCCCAGCAGCCAAGAGCTGTTAGCCAGGCCAAGGGCCAAATGGGAGAGGAAGACTGCTTAGCTCTGCAGAGGCAAACTTCAGAGACTTGTAACCGAAATCTCCCCTGCAAAGAGAAAATAGCTTCAGCCGTTACTGAGGGACTTGAGGCAACATAGAGCTGAAAGAAGAGCGGAGATGTTCAAAGGAAGTGCTCCTTGAAGAATGAAATTCACACTGTTCTGTAAGAAATTAGCTCCCACGGAATATTAGCTAATCTGTGACAGATTGCACTATACAATGAAACACTATTTTGAAGTAAATTTTCCCCACTCCATAAAAATGACATTTTATGGTTTGTCTTACTAATTTTTCACCCATTTAGATTTGACTTGACAGAGAAAGTTGACATTGTTAAATAGTATTAAGTCCTCAGAGCTCCCTCAGCTTGCAAGGAAGCCCCCCACTGCTGTTACAAAGATTTATCCAAGTTAAATATCTGTGACACAAACATGGGGAGAGTCTGCCTTATGTCTTCCAGTTGTCTAGAATCACAGAAATCAATTTGGTTTCATCAAAAAAAAAAAAAAAAGAAAAAACAAAAAAACAAAAACCCTACACCCTGGGGTTATCACATTGCCTTAAACAAAGTATGGCATAACATGATGCCTTGTGAGATGCATTTACCAGATGGAGGGAAAAAACTGCAGAGGGCCAGAGGCCCATTAGCAACAACTTCCTATTAGATTTTGGTGGCAACCTGGGAATGAACTACCGAGCCTCTGCACGCACATCAGTCCCCTCTGCCCCTGGGCATAGAATAGATAGATGTGTCATCACTGACTGGTAAGAGAAAATACTCCTCTTGTTGTTCTCCCTTATTTGAATCTTTGATGCTATTTTGTTTGGATAAGACTCGACAACTTCCCAAACCTGGAATATAGACATGGAAACCATTTTTGAACGTAATTTTTAGAGGCCATGGTTACTTGACGCTGTGATTTAACAGGAGTTTGAGATCTGCAGTCATTAAGTCTATATCGAAGTCCCAGCTTGGCTCTTACTAGGCAGCTGGCCTCTGGAAAATTCTTGGCATTCCAGTTTCTATAGCTGTAGAAGAAACCAGAATGCCCACCACACAGGTACTGAGGACAATGGGGATCACAGCAGGTGGAAAGTGATGGGCAGCTGCCTTTCCCTCACCTTCTGGAGCTTACTCAAGGCTCAGAAACCTAGCCAGCATGAACGACGGACTAGGCGTGAGGATATTCCAGTCTGAAACTCACGTCTGTCCCAACACTTTCCCATCAGCAAAATGGGTAAATTCCCTCTTTCCCTCACACATCTCAACATGGAGACCCGTCACTCATGAATGGAGATGACACTGAGAATCAGTCAGCTTAACTCAAGGAGTACCGTGATTCCTCAACTTTGCTGTGGATTGGAATCACTCCCACTGTCCAGTCACACCCAACACCACCACACAGCAAAGTATGGGAACCTTGACCCAATTCCCTCCATGGTCACCCAAGGGTTCCTTTCAACCTCTTGGTTCTATGCTACGGCCAACTTTGAAATGGGAATCAAAGCCCAGGACACTACATTTTGAGCCTCTGTAGCTCCCTCCCATAAGCCTCGTAGCCACCTTCCCCACCACTTACATCCAGCTAGGAAATGTGAACTATGAGTAAGTAGAGGGCCCTGGGATAGGGAGGTAAGCCTAGAGTTGAGGAAGGCACAGAGCACTCCTTCCCAAACTGGGAGAACAGCAGGGTAACATAAAAAGAGATTTGAAGATCGGATAAAATTGAGCAATTCTAGGATCAACAAAGTTAAGCAGATTTCTTCATTGCAGGACTTCTCAGATCCTTTAGGTTGGAGTGTACCTATGAATCTGCCAGAGAGGATCGTAGCAGCATTTCTCCCCATAGGAACCTTCATTTTCTCAGAGTCCGTCAAGGACTAGAGTCTCCAAGAATATACTTTGAGAAACTTAGAGCAATGTTGGGGGTTGGGGGCATGTGGAAATATCTGGAGACACACTTGGTTGTCAAGCTGGGGACTGGGTAGCTGTTCCTGGCATCCGGTGGACAAAGACCAGGGATGCTGATAAACATCCTACAACGTGCAGGAGAGCCCCCCACAAAAAAGACTTACCAGCCCCAAATGTCAATAGCAGTTCAGTTGAACAGCCCTGGCCTAGAGTGACCTCTTCTCCCAGAGGCCGCCCTCCACGCCAGAGGTTTAGAAATTAAAGATGATGAGAGAGAGAGAAAAAAAAAAAGCAGATGGGAAAAAGGACAGGAGTAGAAGAAAAAAGAAGGAAAAGAGGCAGGAAGTGAAAAACAGACAATAATGAAGGACGAGATTTGGGAGGAAGAAAAGAAGATAGATTCATTACGGCCAAAACGTGGAGGCAACCCAGGCGTCCTTCAGTAGGTGAATGAATAAACGGTGGTCCCTCCAGACAATGAAGTATTACTCAGCACTAAAAAGAAATGAGCTACCACGCCGTCAAAAGGCGGGAGGAAACTTAAGTGCCTACTGCTAAGCGAAAGAAGACACCCGCAAAAGGCTACAGGTTGTGCGTTTCCAACCTACGAGGTCTGCAAAAGGCAAAACTTGTGGAGACAGTGAAAAGATCGAGGTGGCCTGTGGTTGAGGGAGGGGGGAACCCGCAGAGCAGAGAGGACTGGGGAGTGGGGGGCGGGGAAAACACTCTGATCCCAAAATGGTGGGTCCATGTCATTACCCTGTTGTCCAACCCCACAGAATACACAACCTTGAGCGCGAACCATTATCTAAACCGTGAACTTTGGGTGCTAACGATGTGCCAGCGCAGCTTCATTGGTTGCAAGGCCGCACCGCCCTGGTGGAAGATGTTGATAATCAGGGGGGGGCTGTGCATGCATGGGGGGCGGGGGGGGGGGGCAGGGATATACAGGACCTCTCCTGCTTTCTGTTCAGTTCTGCTGTGAACCCAAAACGGCTGGAAAAAGAGAAAAAGCAAAGAAGCCAGAGCAGCGCACTGATGTCCACCGGCCGGGCCTCCCGTGCCTTTATTACTTCTCTGAGTTGAGGAGGATGGTAGCCCTGCTCGTCAACAGGCCCAGCTGGGGGGTGAAGGCAGAGGAGGCCATGGAAGGCGGGAGACGTTCTCTGGCCGGTGTTGGGCGCCCAGGGCTCCTTGCGGGGGAGGCCTCAGACCCTGCTGGGCTTCTTGGGGTCCTTGCTCTTGGCCGGCACGAAGGCGTAGAGCTCCTCGATGAGCATCTCCATCCGCGCGGTGACCTCGGTCACCGTGTCGATGACCAGCTTCTGCTGCAGCTTCAGCTTGTTGCTCTCGCACAGGGCCTTGCTCTCCTCCTGGAAGAGGCGGTGCTCCTGGCGCAGCGCGTGCAGCGCCCGGTTCTCCTCCTGCAGGTGCTGGTTCTCCTCGCGCAGCGCGTGCAGCGCCTGGTTCAAATCCCGCAGCAGCTCCAGGGACTGGCTCCCGTCGGGCAGGCCGGGGCCGGCCTTGCCCTCCTCGTCGCCGGACGACCCGGACAGGTTGCTGACCATCTGGCGCAGGGCGCGGAGCGTCTTGGAGTCGTCCTGGGGGGCGGGGGGCCCCTTGGGCTCCTCGAAAGGGGAGGCGAGGCCTGCGCCCTGGTCCGGCAGCAGCCCGGAGCCGCGGGGCTCCTCGTGGGCGGAGGGCGCCGCCTCGCTGTCCTCCCCGGGGCCCGCCTTCTCCTCCGCGGGGCCCCAGTAGGCCTTGCGCTGCTCCAGCAGCTGCTGCAGGGCCCGGTTCTCCTCCCGGAGGAGCCGCAGGCTGCTGTTCTCCGCGCTGCGGCGCCCCTGCGAGGCGGCGTCCGTCCCCGCCTCGGGCGCCGCGCGGTCGGGGCGCAGCAGCGGCGGCGACGCGGGCCTGCTCTCCGCGCGGCCCAGCGAGGCCCTGCGCTCCTCCCAGAAGACCTGCAGGAGCCTGTTCTCCTTGCGGAGGGCCCTGTTCTCCTCGCGCAGCGCCCTGTTCTCCTCGCGCAGCGCCCTGTTCTCCTCCTGCAGCAGGGCCTCCCTGGCCAGCCGCTTGTGGTGCAGCTTGTGGTGGAAGGACGGCGGCGGCGAGAAGTACGGCGACGGCAGGCGGCAGTTTTCGTTCACCCAGCGGCCGTCCTGGAAGACGAACATCTCGTCGCTGAGCTGCACCCGCGGAGGGTTGTAGTCCAGCTCCAGGTCCGCCTGGGAAGTGGGGCGCTCCATGGGGTCCAGGGGCACGGAGGAGAAGCGGTTCAGCGGGTACGAGTGCTGGCTGACCACGCGGCGGCTCGGCCTGGGCAGCGCGGCCTGGCGGGCGCAGCGCGGCCCGGGGTACAGGCTGTGCAGCCTCAGGAACGGCTCGGCTGCGCCCCTCTGCGGGAGAGAGCGGGGCGGGGGGGGGGGGGGGAGGGTTAGTGGCGCAGCTGACGAGCCCGGGCCGCACCCCCGCAAGACGCTCTGTGTGAGGGTCCGGCCCCGGCCGCAGCGGACGCTTGTGCGTTAGGCCTCGCGAGGAAATGCAACCGACCCCCTACCTGCAGCCGTTCAGGTCTGTAAAATGCCCGCGACCCCTGAATTCGCAAACACCAAACCATCGTTCCCAGTAGAAATATAGGGCCCGGTTCCTGCCAGCCACTAGTCAGTTTGTCAACCAGCCAAGACATAACCTTGCATGTGTGTGTATTTCCATTGAAAGACCTCTTACTTAGTGCGCATGATTGACTCGGTAACATGGAACGGTGAGACCACGGCGCCGTCACTCGTGCCTGAACAAAGCTGGTATCTAAGCCATGTTTTCTCCACCAGGCGCATCACACCTTCTTTCATTAAGGAGCACTAGACAGCACTTCTGCAGTGTGCTTGGGGGCCGTTTGAACTGTGAAATCATCTCCCACCCCTTAAAAAAGCACAAAAATGGCAACAATGCAAGACTACGTAAACTGTTTTCACAGTGTGAGAGCTGAAGCAAGAAGGCTCCTTAGCTAGAACGTGGGCCTCAGGTGACTTACATTTTTTTGTCGCTCTGTGCATGTCTGTAAATGACCAGCAACGGGCCACAGGTATTGATTTGCTGGTTACAAATTTTAGCGAGTGGGCAAATACACAAATAGAGAATCCATGAACAATGACTTTCCCGTGCATGTTGTGAAGGTTGAAGGGCATTCCCTTTGGAGTCCACCAAATATTTTGATTCCCGGCCCCACTATTTGATCAGTGACAAGACTATGGCAAGTTCAGTTTCAGTTTCCACGTTTTCGAACTGGGATAACTACACATCTACTTCATTTCCTCGGAGAGATATTCTTGGGATTAAAAGGGATGTATAAAAGCATTAAGCGTGGGCTCTGGCACACTATTGTCACCTTAGAGAAACACACACTCTTCTCAATCGACCCCAGCTGCAGATATGTACCCACAATGGGCATGGGCAAAGGGACAGCATGAATCACCCCAACAGATGCCCAAATCGGTGATGCTGTCCACCATCCGGGCCTTCTCCCTTGCCCCATTCAGCCTTACCCTCCACCCTTAGCCACCCTGAGTCTATCCTTCCAGAAGCCCCTTGAATACCCATCGACACAGCGTTAGGCTCAGAGCAGAGTCCAGCTGGTAATTTTGGAAAAGAAGGGCACCAGCCCAGACCTGTCACCGAGCAGTGAGAGTGCAATATGTGGTCATGAAGACAGCCAAGGACACCAAAGAATTCATAAGAAGGAGTTCATGATGGTTGCCCATATACCTCAGGACCGCCATATAAAAAGGGGATCAGAGCTACAGAGCTTAAATTCACTAGGCCAGCAGCTCTTGCACTTCCCAGAGTAGAATAATCATCTGAGTGTGTCTTCAGTGTAGATTTCTGAGCTCCCTACTTGTAAGACTGATTCACCCTCAGTACGGGATACGGTCTAGGAAGCTGCATTTCTAACCAGCTTCCTCAAGGGATTCCGGCTGCAGGCAGTCAGGACAGCTCAGAGCCAGGTAGGATGTGCCGTTTGCCCAGGTGAGGGTCACACCAGGGATAAAGGCTGAGGGGTTAAGACTGGAGATCGCAAGAATTCTCATCCTGGCTCTGTTGCTGATGGGCGGTATGAAGTTGGACATCACTTTCACCCTCTCTGAGATCCAGATTTTTTTACTGAGATCCAGAGTCAGACTCCCTGACCCTATACACACCTTCCAACACATAAAGTCAGTTAAATGTGCCTGTAAAATGGAAATAAAAACACATGCCCTGTTTGGTTCACCACACCATTGTGAGGAGTGGATGAGATAACAATTGCATACATGTTTTTAAAACTGCCGAGTGCCTTAGAAATGTCAGGTATTGTTATCATGAAAAGTAGGTTTTGCTAATGGCATAATTCTGAGGTGTATTCAAAAAGTGGTGAGCAGGTGGAATGTGTCCTGGAGAAGAGGTAACAATTGCAGCAATGAATTTAAATAAAAGTAAGATCATGATAGCTACCTCTACACCAAAAGCATTTCACCTTAAGTACATTGCAATGCTCTCCAAACATCAATTCTTCATTTCTCGGGCTATTTTCACAATTTTACAGATACAGAAGATAGAAAACAAGTCAGGTTATCTGCATTATATCTTCGGGTATAGAGAGAAGTATAATTTGCACGGTGTATAATGTTGGCTAGAATTCTTTAAGACCCAAAGAGCTAGATAAATAGAAGGCACAGTTCTATGCCATTAACTTTGCAATAAGCACATGTCATTAACTTTGTAAGGATGTGCTTAATCTTCTAGAGAGTGAGGGTGTGGGACATTCTGCAATCAGAACCTTATTTACTTTAAATAAATCCAGCCTCCGTGGTGTTCATATTTCTCAGTTGGGAAAGCACATTGGCTCCTGCAGCTGAAGCTGAGACCAGAGTGAACCTCACTGTGGGCAGCACAGCCCACTTCCCTGTCAGTGTAAGCTCCTTGATCCTAGATTTCCAGGACGATTAGCCGCAATCACTAAGGAATGGATCTTGAGAGGTCCTCTTCATCCAATGTGGCCTCTATCTCAGCAGGATCCTGCTCTAGGAGACTTTACTATGGGAATTGTGGTTTTAGTCAACAGTGCATATCCCAGCCTTGAGAAGAAAACGAACATTGAGCTCCAATTCTGTGTTAGGCTCTGAGCTGAGCATTCTACCCACCAAATTAACTTAACCCTCGCAATACTGACTTAATAAAGCGTTGTTATGATTGCTGTTTTACAGATGGAGGAGCAAACTCAAGATTCTAAGTTAAATAAACAGTGCCAGTTCACCCACTAAGTCACAAACCCAGATCTGGCTGCCTGAACATGTATGTGTGAAACACACATATAGGAAATCGCCATGGATGCTGTATGCCAAGGACTTGCAGTAGTCAGGGCAGGTGAAGATCGTTTTTTCTTAACATTAACTTTATATTATGGAAAATTTCAAACATATACAAAAGGAGAAGAGCCCAATAAACGTCCATATACCACTCCCCCAGTCTCATAAATCCAGGCCACACCTGTTTTATCTGTGCGTCCACCCAATTCCACAACCACTCCCCCACCACTGATGTATTTTAAAGCAAAGGGTAGACATCCTGTTATTTTACCCATAAATACATGAATGTGAATCTTTTTAACAAGCATCAATACCATTATTATCCCTTTAAAATTTAATACTGGGGGCGCCTGGGTGGCCCAGTTAGTTAAGTGTCTCACTCCTGATTTCAGCTCAGGCCATGATCTCTCAGTTCATGAGGTGGAACCCCACACATCAGGCTCTGCACTGACAGTAAGGAGGCTGTTTGGGATTCTCTCTCCCCCTCCCTCTGTTCCTCTCTCTCTCAATCTCTTTCTCTGTCCATCCCCCCTTGTTTGTGCGCTCTCTCAAAAATAAATAAATGTTTTAAATAAAACAAAATAAAATTTAACACTAATCACTTAATATCAGCAAATACAGAGTCAGTGTTCAGAGTCTCCCAGTTGTCTTTATGTCATGAATGTTTTGTTTCAATCAGAGATATGCTTCTTCATCCAATGTCCAAAAAGGAATCACTGTATAAAACACCGGTTTATTACTGTTCAGAGTACCCATGATGGTTGTTAAATCATCATAGTCAGCTACGCTTATTCTGCCCTGGTACCCCAAGGAATTTTGACTGCTCCCTCAGCAGAAATGCACTAAATAGAACCTTAGCATGTAGGTGGTGGATCCCTAGCCATGAACGGTCTGGATATTTGGGCCCTCATCCTTATGTATGCCTGTATGCCATCTTACCCTCTGACCTTCGTTTTCATATCTGTATAATGGGGGTCACGGACAGTATCTCTTGGTGTAACTTTCTCTGGTCCAATGATGGATCCATGTTTTAAGTGGACACCACTATAGCCCCAGCTGCCCTTTTTACCAACCTTCACACCTTGTCCCCTCCTTTAAATGGCCAGCTTTTCCCATGCGGAGGGCCTGTGCCTTCTCTGTTACATGCCCAAAGCACCCAATCCAGAAAATGCTGATGGACTAATAGGTCCCCATGACTTCCTTCCCCAGGAAACCGAATCCTCCTCTCATGACTAAGCCCTGTATCTTCTCTCCTATTCCCAGACAGGATCAAGAAGAAGGTCAAGTCTAGTGTTGCCTCATGGTCTACTGTCTTAGATAGTCCATAAAAACATTTAAAAATTTTTAATAGTCATGTATTTATTTTAATGGTTATTGGAAGAATATACCTATTTTATCAAACTCACAAACCTATGGATAGTATTAAGGTGAGGCTAAAATAAATCAACACCTTCCTCTGAAAATGAGAAGATTTAAGGAAAAATACCAAATATGCAGGCATTTCAGAGATGCCAAGAACCATGATTAAACTTTGAGAAAACGTTAAGTCAAGACAAATTCTTTCTTTCCCCAATTCCAATCAGATCTGGCTGAATTTAGTCGTTAGAGAAAGGCTCACTCTTGGCCTTATGAAAACAAAGTCACCTCACCCTAAATATATTTCTACCCTGAATGTTCTTGCACCAATTCTTCATCCACATTTATGTTGATTAATCAACTAACATTAATTTGGCATATAGTCTCAGACCCCAACTGCCTTCAGGGAACTTCTAGTCAATTTGAAAATTCAGTCAATAGTACCAATTATATAGGGTCGCCTGGGTGGCTCAGTCAGTTAAGCGTCCGACTTAGGCTCAGGTCATGATCTCATGGTTCCTGGTTTTGAGCCCTGGGTCAGGCTCTGTGCTGACAGCTAGCTCAGAGCCTGGAACCTGTTTCAGATTTTGTATCTCCCTCTCTCTCTGACCCTCCCCTGCTCATGCGCTCTCTCTCTCTCTCTCTCTCCTTCAGGAATAAATAAAAACATTTAAAAAAACAGTACCAATTATTGCCTG